CGTCTGTCGATTCCTGACGCTAAGTGCCCTGTCTCTCCAGCGGAGTCCAGTGGTGTTAGAAAGGACATTACTCATCAACACAGGATGGTCTAATTACATCACTGCATGCTCTCTTCTCCTTATTGTCTACCTTACAATGAAGCACACAGTGTACCTTGTGTGCAGACACACTAATTCAGAGAGAGTGGCATACAGAATTCCCGCCTGAGCTGTCAAACTGATAATAATCCTGATCACTGAAAGTCAGGAAGCTTTGTGGTAAACGCACCAGTAAAACAATTAATGAGGAGTATCAGCCAATAGTTTTATGGATGCCGAGGGCAGAGGTTAGGGTCTGAGTACATATCCACCCACTAATTTAGTGCCAGGTCAGTACTCCAAGCAAACATTGTAATTGCAGCATAGCATCCATAGTTTGTCGAGCTGCCCTCTTGTCATTGGTTAACTACTATAAAAGTCATCATACACAATAGCTGCATTTCATCGCTGTACAGCTGTTACAAAACTGACGTGTGCTGTATACTACACACGAGCACACACAGTAGAGTGCTGCTCTATGTAGCTGATGTTATTCTGGGCCGGCTTTGGTCTTCTGGAGGCCTTAACGACCGCTGGCTTTACCTCCGAAGCTCCTCTATGTTTATCTGAAACAGTCCATGTGAACAGTGGAAGTCCCATTTATCAGGCACGTTCACGCTCATGAACACGCACAAAAAGTTTCTTGACTTTCGAACTTACCACAATAAAAAAAGTAAAAGTTTTGAATATAGTCAGGTATTTTGAAAATACTTTGAAAATATGACACATACACAGTGACTAATTTGTTTTAATGAGAGGGGAACCATTCTGTTTTATCCTGCACAGCTCACCTCCTGATATTTCTAGTTAATAACTATGGGCTCTAAAAGAAGTCTCTATAAATAAATTATACTTTCATTTTACATAAAGTTAAGGAGGCAATTAAAAGTTGTCTAAACCTGACACACTCGTGTGTACATTGACAGGGTCAATATTTGCCGTGTTCATTCGTCCTGGCCTTATCTCTCTCTAAGTGATTCCAAGGACCAAACCTGTGTGTCTGTGTAAGAGTTCAGCTGCAGGTAATACAAGGCTTTGTGGTCTAAGTTTTCAGACATGAACTTCTGGGAAATTAGGTCAAAAAAATGTCTGGAGCTTGTCTTGGTCAGACATGTTCACAACGACAGGAAAATGTGGGTAGAGCACACAGGAGGCAGGACGTAACCTGTAAATTCTGATATGGAAATGATATGGAAAAGCAGCTGGTATTGACAAGAGAAACACCTACTCCTACCAATTACCCTAAAATATGAATTTGTCAATGTTGCTTTAGCCTTGAAAAATGTGAACCAATCCATCCCAAACATTTTCCACCTTTTTTCATTGCTTGTAAACACTGTGCCTGATTTTCTCTCTGGCTTGAAGCTGAGTGTTAGCCCGGCAGGCCTGGTGTCAGCAGCACATCAAAAGACTGCAGGTGAGCTGTGTGAAACTCAGTCCGAACCCCCCCCCACCCCCCCTGCTGTTTGTAATGTCAAGCAGCGGGAGCTTGACGAGGAATCCACAGCAGAGGAACAATAATGAGGCTCTAAATGCATTAGCCTTGTTTTTCAGATTCCCCCGACTCTCATCATAACATCATATTTCATGTGACTGGTCTCTCACATAAACAGCAGAGACACAGATGTTTAGAAGTTACATCAGAAAGCTGGGTCATGGAAAATGTGTCATGTGTGGAGGATCACCAGAATCACATGCGGCCACATTTGTTTCATAGCGTACGAGCGGCAAGTTCAGATTATTAACAGCCTCTTCACCAAAAACATCCAGTGTTTTAGAGACGCTGTGTGCAACAGCTCTTCTAGCTGTATGGGGGATGGAGGCAGAGGTTTGGGGTTGGTGGTGGTGGAGTCATTTTGCACTCATCACTATCAAAGCGCCTCCCAGTGTTTCCATGGTAACAGCAAACCCTCCGCACTGGCAGCATATTCCTAGTGGAACCCGGTGGTTTCTGTTCAACCGCAATTGATTTTTCCGATTGAGTGTGCATTGGTCTTGGCTTATGTTTGTTTGCTCAAAAGAAGTATGCGGATGTTAAGCGCGGAGCGAGCGGACGTGGGGCAAAGAGAGACGGCAAATGGACCGTAGAGATAAGGAGTCAGAGGGAAAGGTTTATGGCTTTAAGGTTATCGTTACTCAGACAGTGAGAGCAACAGTCCTCATCCACTGCTGTTACTATTTAATCTACCAAAAAGGCATCAAGGGCCACGGCTGTAAAACAGGGTATGGGAAGTTCAAGACAACATTTCCATTTGCAAGTAAATATATCCGCTACGTATCATTAGCTAAATGGCTGTTCACTCTCTATCTGCCAACAGAGACTCAAAAGACCAAGAGACCGGCAAAGATAGAGAGAAAGTCAAAGAGGCGGATGAACGTTAATGATCCTGATGGATTGTGGTTCTCGGAGGAAGGAGACACAAGGTTTCATTAGCTGAGTTCAAAAAGTTGCAGGAGCCCAAAACAACTTTATATAAGCACTCTTGACTTTCACACACACACACTTGATGGTTGACTGTCAGTATCAGATCTGACGGCCCTTTCATTACCGCAGAGAGAGGCTAGGAGGGTCGTTCCTACAAGAACGAGAAAAGGACAAGAGGCCTAAAGCTCACGCAATGCCCTTCACGATCTATCAACAGCTTTGAGGAAAAACTACAACAGAATACATAATACGAGCCTGAATAGCAGCTCATACATCATAAACACTGTTGAACCTCTGCCAGTCAGACACCGACAAATAGATCCCCTCCTTCAAATGACGCCGTTTCTATTTCAAAAGGTGATTTGACTTCCATCTGCTCTTTCCTTTCCTTTTCCACTCCATTTAGTCGATCTGTAAAGTGCCAGGGGGCAGATCCGTCGAGAATCATTTGAGGTAGAAAACATTTGAGAGAGATGCAGGACAGATCCTTCAGTGAAACAGAACTATTTTAGCGCTCGGGTTGAAGCGAACGATATCATAGGAAAATGAGCATTTGAATGATATTGGAAACAGTGGAGAAGTGAGGAGAGTCACAGGTCTAACAAAAGCCTTTTTCAGACATGCACTCCGGAGAATGTCCGCACATTCTGACTTTCCTCAAAACGCATCACATCAGGAGATTCCCAGGTCAGACTCGTTCACAGCACAGAAATCTCTGGAGCACTCAGGTGTGCGGTGGCAGGAGACAGGATGTAACGTGTGAATTCTGCTGCAGTGATGTGATGTGTGTTTCTGTTTACAGCACATCGACGCCGGCATCGGCTCTCGACACCGAAAGCTCTCGAATCTTGTGGTCGTTCCACCTCTTTTACACCCTGAGATATGTGTGTTGTTTTTGTTTCTTTAAGTTTTGCGTCTGTTGCGTGTTAGAAACCTGATCAACGTGCACACTCGCACGCAGTGAATCCTCCGGAGGATCTCCCGAGTTATTCTCACAAGGGCCTGCAGGAGAAACTCCGGAGCCTCACACTCGGACATTTGCATTCACACATAAAACCCCTCCGGGTAATTTCAGTGCATGTCTGAATAAAGAAATGTTTTGTAGTAAAGAAGTTCATATAAAAGAGAGAAGTTACAGAGAGAGGTAATAAACTCCAAAGCCAAACCTTTACAGACTCTATTGCACCAATACATTGAACAATCACAAAGTGGAAAAAGGAAGATGGACAACCCTCCTCTTGATCTCCATTAACCTCACCTCTTAAACGTCTCATTGCCCATATCCATCTTCCTGCATTTTTCTAATTCCACCACTCACCTGTTTTGTCTTCGTCTACACTCCCTCTCTCTTCCTCTCTCTTTACATGAAATACCAGGGAACGCTCGAGTGTCAGATGTTCACCTGTAATTTAAGGCCACTAATGAAACCCTGCCTCTCAGGAAGTAGTAACACATATATGTGATAAAAAACAACAATCACATGGATTCAAACACTCAGATGCACACGGTGAGTGGTTTTGAGTTGTTTTTTAAAGGCTTCAATAAATACTACAAATCTATGGGGAGAGTATTCCACTTGGGGCCACAACTTTGAAAAGCACGATCAACTTTATTTTTAATTGGACACGTGAGGACCTGCGGGTGATCACCGTGGAGCTGGGGAGCACATCAGCAGAGGTGGCAAATGATGAAAGTGGATGGAAACTTCTGCTGTGTGGAGATATTTTAAGTGTGACTGTGTCTGAAAGAAAGTTTGAAATGTTATTTAAAAATGAGATGTCCATGTTGGCAGACAGCATATTTCACATTGCATCCAATTGAAGTCTTTTGGGTTTGAGACTTTCATCTCTTCTCTGAAGTCAGTGAGGCTGAAGCTTTAGAGTCTGTCGGTCAATACTTCCAGGAACCATCAGTCTGCTCATTTATTTACATTAAGAGAAAGTCATGTCTCATGTGGACAGAGGACACTGTGTGTGTTTGTGTGTGTGTGTGTGTGTGTGTGTGTGTGTGTGTGTGTGTGTGTGTGTGTGTGTGGACATGAGTTTCATGCTGCATCGTGTTTTTGTTCAGCAGACTGACGTGGGAACAGCAGCATTAAGTCATAAGAGCGATTTTCCACCTGAGTTCTGTCACAGTGGATGAAAAGACGCACGTACAGACAGATATATACACGCTGGCTGCGCCTGTATGAAATATGGAGGAGGGTTTTTTTTGTGCAGCAGCTTCTCTTTCCCCCTCCATCCCCTCGCTGTGCTCGCTCTCTGCGCTTTGGAGCAACTTGGTGCAAGGTTGGAGGCATTTTACGCACGAACGGCAGCTGAGCTGTTGACACCGCAGTCACACACACGCGCACACACACACACACCTTTATGTCCAATATGGTTCAAACAGCATCAGGTTGTGAGTGATTTGTCTCTTATAGTTTCAAGCATGTGAAAAGCCTGATTGTGCACAAAGCGCGTGTTGGGTATAATTGGGGAGTGGGCCACTTTCTTACCTGACGATGATGTACATGATCAGCACGTTTCCCACCAGCCCCACCACGCACACGATGGAGTACAGAGCCGTGATAACGATCGCTATGATCACCGGGTTGGCGTCGCCCTCGTTCACGCTGAGGTCCCCGCCGCATCGCACCACCTCGAAGTTCGTGGTGGTGTTGTTGTTGTTGTTGTTGTTGTTCCCGCCGGTGAAGTTCCCGCACAAGCTGCTGTTATAGAGCCCGGGGAGTTGGCTCCGGTAATCCGCACCCGAGCCGTTACCTGCGCCCTCCATGGTTGCTCCTTGAGCCCGCGGTGATTGTGTTCGCTGCTGGTGGTGCCCGGCTCGGCTGGTGGTGGTACCCGGCTCGGCTGCTGGTGGT